TAGTGCGGAACATGTCGATAGAGGTGAGTCCGATATTTAGGACGCTTGCTGTTAATGTTATATATCATGTCGCAGATATCATAGTTAGGTATAATATGAAAACCATTGCAGATCAAGCCAGGCATGCATGTGCTGATTACTGGCCCAAATGGATGTGGGAAAAGCTCGTTGTTCCGATTACTCGGTGGACTTTGGCCAGTATATCGCGGTAGAGTGAAGCGGCCATTTGTGGATCGCATGTACTACATTCCACAACGCCCCTATATGACTCTTGGCACTTTACGGGACCAGGTTAGACCTTGGCCAGTTCAATTTTGAATAAAGTGGTAATGTAAAAATGTAAAAAAGAAGCAAAAGCAGCTGTGTATTTCTTACTCTTCTCTGAAGTATAACATACATCATTATTTAAGGTAATTTATCCAGATACTGTTGAACAAATGAGAAAGAAAGGTTTGAATGATGCGGATCTGTCCCATATTCTAAATGTGGTCCACCTTTCCCACATTGTGGAAAGAGAAGGAGGTAAGTGAATATCTACTTGTTCCACTTTTAGGTCATTCTTCGTACTAGCACCCAAAAACATTTCAATAAACCATTTAAATTGGCCGGAGGACGCGCAGGAGCTCCAAAGCCTTGATGCTTTTTCCTGGAGCAAATAATCAGGCGTCCCGGAGAAAAGTAACTCAAGCGCTAGCCTCTGCCTCCTCCATTGCTCTTATGCATCCTCCGTTTGGGCTGCGCAAGCTCAATAAGCGGAATGAAAATCAAAGACAAAAAAGGAAGAAGATAAAAATAGCATGTTTTTCGAGAGTTATGCATCAAAATTATGATTCTCCGGAATATCTTGCGCGGTACCTCTAAAGCACTGTTTCTCGTTAATAGGAAAAATAATCTATTTTTAGATTTATTATTTTTCTATATTAGCCTAATTTAGTAACGTCGCAGCATTAGTAGTGCATGTAGCAGGCTGCGTGTCTGAGATCAATGAAAACTGGATGACTATGTTTGGAAAAGTGAATTTCGTTTGGACGAAGTGGTATTCATGAAAGTTAAGTTAAAGGCTGATCCTATGGCATTGCACAAATTCTATAAAGGGTTTTGTCTCGTTTAGCTCAACTGCTTTGAGCTGTAGGTCGTGAAAATACCAGGGTGACACATTGCAGCCGCTGCTTTAAGAGGAGTAGCTAAAGTATGGAATAAATGAGAGTTCGAGTGAATATGCATAAGGTTATCCTTCCTTTCATCAGCACTTTGTTCTAAAAAATGTGATATTATAAAACATCATTAATTTCCTCTTCCTCCTTTTGGTCTTGCACGTCTGTTTGTTAGGCTTGCTCAACCCGGTCTGATGACAGGGCAATAGGCGAAGCAATGAGCAGAGTCAGAGACTAGCGTTTGGAAGGTGTCAGATCCCTTAATACTCAAGAAAAAGCGGCGATACTTTGGGGACTGCTGCTACGCCGCCAATTCGGCCTATATAACTTGCAAGCTCTGCAAAATACATCAATTTCTTATCAAAAACTGAGCCCCCTAGGACTTGAGCAACTCAAGCAATTGATTAATTAATTGATTGTTTTTATTAACCAACTCCTGCAGATTAATAATGGCGTATAAATGTTGAAAATGTTCTAAAGATAATAGTCAATCAAAAACACTAAAAGTTTTGAAATTTTATTCCTTTCAAATTGTAAACTCATTGTTTCTCGCCTTATGCTTACTTTTCATTACATATCATAGTACTTCAATACTAGGATGGAGCGCAAAGAGCGATTGGATGGACGTGCTATCGGGAGGTGAAAAGCAACGAATGGGGCTCGCCAGGGTATTCTATCATAGGTTTGTTCATTTTTATTACACTCTTGCAAATACGAACAGTGATATGTTTTCAGGCCACAATATGCACTTTTGGATGAGTGCACCTCAGCTGTATCAATTGATGTTGAAGGTAGCATATACCAAGCGATTAAAGATGCTGGTATAACTCTTCTTACAGTAACTCATAGGCCAAGCTTGTGGTAAGCATGCTTAAACTCGTTCTATAT